AGTATATAAGTTTTTATTTCTATGTAAAAATCTAGCCTTTTCATAGATGAAGCATACCCACCTAGACATGGGTTGTCCATCGGGTTAAAGCGGAAAATCAATATCTTATTAGGTTTCATAAATATTGGGAATCTCTTTAAATGCATCAACAACTATTCTATAAGTATTTGCTGCAAAGTAATACTGAATCATAAAAATTAACTTTGTACCATTCATTGAAACAACTGACCATCAATATCCATTTTGGAATTTCCATAATTTTTGAAAGTTTCATGTATCTTGGATTGCTTTAAATAAACTGGTAAACTGATGATATCCAATTTTATAATATTTTTTGTTGTTATTGTATTGTTTTCATCACACTTTTTACAGAAGATGCACAGAATTTTGGCTCAACAGTTGCATACAAAATTATTGCATGCTCTTCACATGAAAAGGCTGGAGACCCTCCTTAGATTATCTACAGTAACTCAGTTCGAGGAAAATATGAATTTAAATCTGGCATTATCCCTTGCAAATGAGGATACATATATGAAGTTGCAAATGCATTTAAATACAACAGCAATACCTACATTAAAAGGCACAGCCAAAAAGTTTTAAAATTTACAATTTAATTAATAAAAATTTTAATATTTAAATACAACTGTTGTATTTAAATAATTCTGTTAATGCTGTTGTATTTTAATGCAAATGCAACAGCAATACCTGTAATAAAGGCACAGCAAAAATTAAAAAAAAATTACAATTTAATTAATAAAAATTTAAATATTTTTACGCAGATTCTTCAATGAAATTATTGATAAAAGAAAAAATAATTACCTTTTTTGTCTTTTCTTTAACAAGCTTATCTGTCATATAAAGAACATTTGATAGTTCTGTTATATGAGAAGGTTTTATTTCAAAATCTGTCAGAGCTATTCTGAGACCCTGAAATAAATTTGGCAATTAAATAACAAGTATAAATATAAAAAAGAATACATAAAAAAAAAAAAATTTACAAATAAAGAAATGAAATAGCTTTCTTTTATCCAAGATGATTCTGTATACTCACAACCTCCATCTATATAACTACATTAAACATAGAGATACTTTCTGATAATTTTTCTAAGCTACAGAAAATACTTTGCTAATATCCTCAAATATGGTATTTCTAAAAGAAAGTGAGGCTAAGAATATGGAATACGTCACTAGATAGTTTTACTGAACTAGAGCTAAATCCCCCTGTTACTAATCTTCTGGATAAGTAGACGAAAAACTAAAGGATAATAGGTGTTTTATATAACAAAGTGACAAAAGGTCTTATGTCAAATGAAGATATAGTAGTCATGAAACTAAGGAATACACAATAGTTAGATGGTCAGAGAAATTTGGCTGAAAAGCATTTCATGACATTAAGAAATTTGCTTGATCTATGGCTTTCATGAAACTAAAGAATATGCAATAGCTAATTGTTTAGAAAAATCTAACTTATAAGCATAGGAAATTTTCTTCATAGTCCAACAAAAGGAATTACCTCCCCAGCACTAGTTTTGTAAGACTCCTGTATGATCACAAGATAATGTAAAATACTTTGAAATCATTTCAGAAAAAAAATTAACTTTTTGACACAAGAAAATCATCTGCAGCTTCCACAACAGATATAAATGGCAAAGAAATACAGATGAAAGACTATGATAAAACCAATCTTAAGCAAAAGTTCTTTAGAAAGGATTTGGGGGAAAGAAGAAGAAGAAGCTTCAAGAAAAGAAGAAACTTAACTGAAAATAAAATGACCAGAATAGAAGCAAATTGACACTTAATGATGAAGAAAAAAATATAGATATGTTACTTGCAAAAAAACTTGAATTTCAAAGCTGTCAAACTGAACAGTTTCCAAAACTTGAGAATGAATTTATCCCAAAGAAGAAAATAAAATATCTTGAGTAAATGGATACTAAAACTGAAGAAACAATTCTTTCAATTCTTATTTCCTGGAGAACATTTAAAATCAAATTTACTAAAATATCTACACTGCAATTAATTGCACTATAATATACCAGAATTAAAAAACACACAGAAAAAAAAAAAAAAAAAACTTTCAATTATTACTTCCACTTTGGTAATAAACTGGATAACACTCATAAGAGAGAAAAAAAATAGCAGTAAAAACTTTGAGGCAAGCATAAAAAATAGCATCTACATCTATCTAAATTCAGACAAAAGCTATCAGAATATTGCAAGATATTTGCAAAAAACATGTGAACTGCACAAGATGCCAATGAAAAAAACTCATTTTACTTAAAAAACCATATTTTTTTAAATTATTTAATTAAAAAAAACACTCTTCTGAGATATTCTAACTGAAGGTATAAAAGAAGAATTTAACTTCTATATACTCTAATAAATAAACTAAACAGCTTGTAATTACACTGTTTGTAAAATTTTCTTGAGGAAAAGGAAAAAAAGCAATTAATTACCCACCATTATGCCAATTAGAATCAACAAAAAAGCATTTTAAATTGAAGGTATAAACGAACTCATAGTCTGTAAAAAAAAGTTATTATTTTATGGAACTTATAAAAAAATAAAGATGGAAGAGGAATTTACAACTAAGATATATTCTCAGCTTATGAATTATAGTTCCATAAAAATCTAGAAAGAGAATGCAATGCTATAAGAACCTATATATTGGATATTTGCAGTATACTTATATCACAGGCCAATTAATATTAACAAATAAGGAGATTATCAACACAATAAATATGTCAAAAAAATTCTCATGATTAAAAAAAAAGAAACAAAAAATTAAATCCGTCTGCAACCTTTATTTGAAAAAATGTCTGTTCTCATGCAGAAGTTATCCAGAATATCAAGTAACACAAGATGATCAGAAATGGTATTTTTAATTAATGATGATTATACGCCAAACCAAAAATTTATTCATATCTTAAAAATGGCAGAAACCAAAAAAAGGGAACACAGGGAGGGAAAATGAAGCGAATGAAAAATCATGAAGAAAAAAAAAAAATTTTCAAGACAAGAAAAACTACCATTTGAAAAATTATATACTGGCCTTAGAGCTATGGAAATACTGCAGGAATGCAGTAACTTAGATGAATACATTGTGTGGTACAACATTTGGACTTGGGAGCAATGCTGCTCATAATACTTTACTAAACTCCAACTACGAATATTTATTGGATTCATAGAATTTGAGAGTCATGGCAAGAAAAAGAATTCTTTTCACATTTTCAAAAACATTCCTTACATTGTTGACTAAATGCTGACTCCAACTAAATGTTCAGTGTGACATTTAGCACTAATTTTCAGGACTCTCTCTCTTAAACATAAAATTAGTAAAGCAACAACTTTGCGTTTGGCATAGATTTAGTAAAGATCTCAATTGATTTCGAAGGCAAACAGGCACAGGTTCCTCTTCATCAGAAGCAAATAAATCTGCAAGACTGAACTTCTGATGAAGAGGAACCAGCACCTGTTTACTCTTGAAATTAATTGAGATCTTAACTAAATCTATGCCAAACACAAGGTTGCTGCTTAATTAATTTGATGTTTAACTTTGGCATGTTTCTCTTCTGTTTTGTCTCTCTTTTAACATCTAAAGAAATGGACTAAACAAGGGGTTCTCAACCGGGCGTATGCGTACCACTGGTGGTACGCAAGAAAAAAATAGGTGGTATGCAAAGAAAAAGTATTTTTAACTATTAATTTCGAAAATCTCGTGAAGAAAAAGAAAATTTTGATAGAAATTTCCGGTTAAAATTCCATAATCGGGGTGAGCGCCAAACTTGGAGAGAATTTTTTTTATTTGGTGCGATTTTGATTTGATTTTGGTTTCCAGCTACATGTTATCTTGTGGCAAACCTAGAGCTTTATTTCAGTAATTGTAAGAAGGCGAATTTAGTGTAGCCAGAAGATTTTTTTTTTTAAATTTAATTTTGAAATACTGTGTTTGTTTTAAAAAGTTTTACTGTTTGATATTATTATTATATATATAAATGTTTAATATTATATTTATATAAATATTTGTAGAAGGTTAAGCTGTTAGTGGTGGAAGAATGTTGAATTTGAGATGAAGTTATGAATGTTTTCATTTAATTTTATTAATTTTTTTTTAAAGTTTTGTTTCTTGCATGTGGCAATTGAAAGTTGTGGAATATTTAAAGTTTTGAACAAAAGTTTTGTTTAATGTATTGAATTTCAGGACGTTGTTTTATCATTTAATCAATTTCATTTACTATTCTGTTTACACATAATAATCACTGTTCACCACTGTACACAAAAATTTGCTTTTCTGTTTACATTTAAAACTCACTTCACAGTGCTATGATCTGATAAGTGTATATATTTATTTACTCAATAATTATTTACAAGAACTGTTCATTCTACTATTTTATGATGAATTACATGGATAGGACTATGTTTTACTAATTTATCATCTCATTTTACTATTCTGTTTATGTAAAATAACGGCATTTCACTACTGCAAAACTTAAAAGTTACTATTCTGTTTACGTTTAAAAATCACATCTTAGTGCTTTCATTGCCGCCAAAAAAATTCGCCAAATTTTGAAGCCAGAATAGTTTAGCACCAACTTACCCCGCTTATGGAATATTAGCCAAATTTCCTGTGATCGAACTGAAGATTTCAAAAATAATATACTTGTTAACTTTTGTCTGAACCGAAAAATAACTTTCAAATAAAGCTATTAATTTTTTTTTATTCCCTTTTTGTACAACCTATTTGTGTGAACAAGGATTTCCTTACATGCTATATTTAGAAATTATATATAGAACAAAATTATAAGTGGATCTTAATTTGCGATTAAAACCAAGTGAAATAAGACCAGACACAAAGAAATTTGTCTCTCTTAAACAGGTCCAAATTTTGCACTAAATTTTAGAATTAAAGTATTATAACTTAAATTTTGATAATAAAATTTTGATAATAAAATGGGCTACCAAAATGGTAACCTATTTTGAATCTAATACATTTTTTTATGTATGCATATTTAATACAAATAGCCAATAGGTTGTTCAAATGGCAATATATATTTATTTTTAATATTTCCATTGTGAAATTGAAAAATAATCACTGTAAAATGTAGCGGTGGTACTTAAGTAATTCAGTTTTTATTTAGATGGTACGCGTCAGTTGAAAGGTTGAGAACCGCTGGACTAAACTGATCATGATAAACATGAAAGTATGAATTGTCTGAATCTGACCTACAAGAATGATGGGATGAAATGCTTCCTCAATAAGAGAGAAAAAAATAGCTCAGACCATTATACTCTCATCCACTTGGATGTATTTCATAAGTCATTCAAGTAAGATGGAATCTTGAGGTAAATATCACATACAGTTTTATGTAAGCTTCAGATAACGTATTGTATGATCCACCATATAAATCATTGATAACACAGTGCAAATAATAAGAATACCATCAAAAGTGTGTGAACAATGTGATTTTGAACAAAATTAGTCTGGCTATTGAGAACAGTCTTGAACTGTGTACTCGTACAAATATGGACCATTTGCACTTTGGCAGCTGAGAAGGGTGGTTTGGTAAAACCACCAAAACTTGTCCTGGAAAATTTGCATATACAATGCAGATTTTTGTTGTTTGACTTACAGATTTTTGTTGTTTAAATAAATCTGCACTCATTATTGCAGCCAAAAGTATGATAGAAATCAGCCATAATGTGCCTTGATACTGCAGATAACTAAGCCAGCTTGATTGACTTCAGATTTCTATGAAAGATGTTTATTAATCATCCAAAATCTACTTTGGAACATGTTCCAAATATAGTTCATTTTTACACCATATCTTGTGTCAGGTATTGTATTGACAAGAATAAAAATGTGCACTGCCACTATTATTTTTTTAATAAAATAAAACATATAAAAAACTATTTCCTTTCCAATTTTCCATGAAACTTAATGTCTGTAATAATGAATGATCATGAATTTTTTAAAGCCCAAATTTATAACATGTGTTTAAAATTTAATTTTGGTCCTTTTATTAATTACTGCATTTGATGGCATATAAGACGCACCCTTATTTAGAAGGCCACACACAAGGGAAAAAAGTTTCAATAGTCCGCACGACAATAACTTAAAATGTGGTTTCTTTTAGTTCTCATGTTTCGTAAAAGCCAAATAAACAATCATTGAAGGCAATTACCAAACATATTTTTATTAAGGAAAATTAACAAACGGCAAGCTATTTTGAACATGATATGTAAATTTCAATAAAGAATAAATGAATGAACGGCAAGCAATCAAGCATAATACAAAATAAAGCAGAAACAACAAAAAACACAGATTCAAGGAAAATGTTGTCTATCATGAAATTAGACTTTAATCACTTTCAAAACCATAAAAATCCTTTTCACTATCATCATCATCGAAAATGAGAATATCGTCATCACTACTGCTTCCGTCATCGCTAATATCACCTTCTTCGAATAATGCATCATCTTCTGGTCTGTCAAGAGCATTACTGATTCCACACTTCTTAAAGGACTTAACAATTACTTCAGCCTTTACGTCCTCCCAAGATCTTTTTACTCACTCACAGACTTGTAAAATAGAGGGCCGCTTCATTCTACCTGAGGTTGTGAGGGCGTGATGTGGCTTTCCTATCCACTTGTTCCATCATTCTCGCACTTTTTCCTAAATGGCTTATTCACCGATACATCTCTAAAGGCTGCAATTGGCTAGTCAGTCCACCAGGAATGACAGCTATCTAGGTTTTTGATTCTCTCACTTTATTCTTTATGGTTTCAGTTCTATGGACGCTACACTGATCCAAAACAAAAGAGAGGGTTTTCTTAAGAGTCTACCAGGTCGCCTCGCCCATACATTCTGTAACCACAGTTTCATTCCAGCTTCGTCCATCCAGCCTTTGGGATGAACATGAACTATTACACCCGTTGGAAGTTTTTCTTTCGGATGAGTTTTCCTTTTGAATATGAAAAACGGTGGTAGTTTTGTGCCATCAGCACAACATGTTAGAACTACTATATATCAGGTTTTTTCATGACCTGTGGTCTTTATGGTTATTGATTTAGACCCTTTAATACTCACAGTCTTGTTGGATGGTACATCAAATGTGAGTGGAATTTCATCCATATTTCCTATTTGACCGAGCTTAAAAGAAGTTTTCTTGCGTGCATTTATAACAAACCTATGAAATGCTAGTATTTTTTCTTCATAATCTGTTGTTTTTGTGCGCATTGATAAGCCTCGCCTTTTCATGAACCTGTAGCACAGGCCCTCAGACCCTGAAAAGTTCTGATTCCCATGTTTTTCTGCAAATCCTTTGGCCTTATGGATTATCATTTTGGTTGAAACACATATTCCAGATTTCCTCTTATCTATCACCCACATTTTTACGGCATTTTCAAGTTCAGGCCAAGCTGGAGCTGGGCATCGAAGGTTATGTTTTTGTTTTTTAGCAGTCTTCAGTTAATCTTCCTGCAGTCGCCAAGCACGTATCATTTTTTCGGTAGGTGGTGGACCGAAATGCCTTGCTGCTGCTCTGTTTTCATGCCCTTTGGCGTAGTTTAACACTCCTAGTTTATACTGAATTGTATAGCTTAATCTCTTGTTTCCTGTAGTCATATTTTCCATTTTTTTTTAAACTGTAGTCAGTTTTCCATTTTTTTTTTTCCGTTTTTTTTTAAACAAATAGTTTTAAGCACCGATACTGACACGTTTGTACAGAGTAGCACCAATACCGACACGTGTGTCGGCTGAGTCAAAGAAAGTCTATGTAAAGAAGGAAAGGCTCCATAGACGTAATGTGACCATCGAACCTGTTCAAACTTTGACATCAGCTTTGAGCTTTGGTGCTTTTTGGCGACAGATATTTTACGCATGCGCAAAATAATTATGGCAGATGTAGGAAAAGTTATGTGTGTCTAGACCTTTATCTGGGCTAAAAATAACATTCAGTATTGAAAGTAAAGCTGTTTCCTTCACGTATAAGATGCAGGTAACTTTTTTGAGACCAAATTTAGGAAAAAAAGTGTGTCTTATATGCTGTCAAATACTTACTTGGTGGTTAGTTGATTTTATAATCAATAGCTTATGAATAATGCCAAATGGTATGCTTACTCTTGCAGTGCAAATATTGCCAACCATATGCATGATTGGCTTCTGATGTTGATTGGACTAAAAAAGTTTTTACTTTTTTCCTTTACTTATTTTTAATTTTTAGAAACTAGTAAGGAATACCTACTTGTAAATGCAACTACTAGAGACTTAATGCTTTATTCCTAAATAAGATGGTTTACATAACATGCAAACATGTAAAAGCAATATGAAAATTTAATGGACATAGATATTTGGACATTATAACAAACATATATATTTAATAATGTTAAACATGCGAAAGCAATATCAAAATTTAATGGACATAGTAACTGTAGGTAACTTTATATTATTTATGCCTGTTAGTTATTTAAATTTAATAGTATTACCTCTACAGCTGCAGGAATTAACTTATTTCCTAATTCAAGCCACTGATCTGAACTTACATCTTTTTGACTCTATAAATAAAGAGAAAAACATAAGAATTCAAACAAGTAAATACATATACAGATTCACACAAATGAATCAATAAAATATTTTGCAATAGAAATGAAAATTAAATATTACCTTAGCAAACTTTAAAGCTTCAGAAATAAGACCCAAACATTGAGTTCTTTTATACATTCTAATATCACTATGGAGAGCATAGGTTATGCAGGGCTCAATAAAATCCCATGCTACATCCTAAGATCAAGAAAATAATAATAATAAATAAAAAAATTAAAGCACATCTATAATAAGTTAATAATTACATATGTGTTGTGATATACTATAATATGGCAATTCATAAAAAATTATATGCAAGGAAGCTTTGACTTTCGCACATTCTACTTTCACATAATTCGCTACTTCACAGATTTTTAAAAGTTCAGTTATTTAAAGATTTCTCTCAATATTGCAAAAACTGTGATTTAAATCTGAAGCCAATGTTAGTTTATCAAGCAGAAACTCTCAGAGCGCTGAAAGGAAGACATAAAGAATTTCTTCCAGTCATTTGGTAATTAACCCTCTGAGTGGCACAGGATTTTTGATCCGTCATGAAGACCAGTATTTAAACAGCATTAATTAATTTAATTTGTATAATTACTTATTTTAGTCTGCATTTTCATAAGTTTACATTCACTAAGATGATATTTACATTATTAAAGAAAGTAAGAAAGCAAAATATTTTAAATTATAAGCTAATATATACAAAGTAGCAAAACTTCTGATGACCGCATAAAACCTGGTCATAACGCTCAGAGGGTTAAATAAAAGGCCTAGGTTTACTGCATTAATATTTAAAGACTGGTTCAATTTTCCTTTCATGCCAGCAGTTAAGCAATATTGTAAATATAAAGATTCACAATTTAAAACATTATTTTTCTTAGACAATACTCCAGAACTATGAGAATTTCTGCAGAATTTATAGCCAGAAATCAATATAGTGTTTCTTCCTCCTCAATATGACCTGCCTCATTTAGCCCATGGATCAAACAGCAATAGTTATGCTTAAACAATATTATATGAGGACAATACTCGATCAGGCCATCAAGGCAGGGAAAGTGGCTATATTAAGAAACTTTTAGGATAACTATAATACATGGAACACAATGAACATTATTGAAGACATGGGCTGAAATAAAAGGATCCTGGAAACAATTAGACCCGTAAAAAATGAGCGATTTTATAAATTCTGAAGAAACTTTGGAAATTATTGCAGATAAAACAGTTAAGCGAGCAAAAAGAGGTGAAATATAAAGTGAAAGAGAGGAAGAAGAAGCTGTTAAAATCGCCACGACTTTGAGAATCAAGAATATGATTTCATGCATCTTGACAAATTTTTGCATATCATGGAAAAATGTAACCCCAATGGAGAACATATATCTTAAGTATGTATGGTGATTGAGAACGGCACAGCATGGTGTAGAATTCTTTATCAAGAAAAGAGAAAAAAAAAAGGGGGGTATTCAACTAACTCTAAAGGAAAAAACCCGAAAACACTTAACTGCTTTCCATACAAATTTTTTGAAAAAAACTGCAACAAATTTTCACATTTTTTTTATTTTATTATTAAATACAAGGAAATGAAACAAACCAAAACATGTAGGTTTTAAGTTGAATTGTTAATTTTTTACAGATGTAAAAGCATTTAGTTTGAATATTAGTTTACTATCCCGAGTTATTTTGGGAAAATAAAAAATGATAAATATTAGTCTTTGTATGATAGGTTTTAAAACAAGGGACAACACACAGTGATACCTGACATTCTGTACACTGGTATCTGATCTCTTTTCTTACTGGCTCACCACTGGAATCTCTTTTACGGGAGCACAGAGTACACTGTCTCGTTGAAATTGATTTTTTTTTTCAGTAACAAGAATAACATCTGGAAAATGTCCACTTCTTCATAATCACTATCTGAAAAATCATCGCTTTCACTATCTTGCATCATCCCCATTATTTTACTTTTGTCAATGCAACTATCCTTCCTTATACAGTACTAATTCACAAGCCAACATATACTATACAATAGGGAAAACACATGATCAGTCATGCCAAAAGAACCACGAAATCAACAAAACTTGGCAAACTGCTAATCAAAGCTGAATATTTCCCTTCATTTCCTCCAGGCTGAGTAAAACCGCGATAAAACAAATCATACTGACAAATTCTGCTTTTCCCGAGTTTTCTCGGGATAACAATTAACTGCAATATATATGAACCCAAGATAACTCAGGATAATCAGGCAAGCAGTTAAATACACCTCATTAAGTTAATAATGTATACTGATGAATAAATATTTTAAAGTACAATTTTTAATGTTCTTTTCTTTTACTTCCCAATACAATCGAGCATTCAACATTTGCACCCATTTCCAGACACCAATTATGTGCAAAAGTTGAGGGCTGCCTAAAATAACAACAATACAATAAAAACAAAGCAATGAAACAAAAACCAATTTTTCAGTATAAAGAAAAACTTTAGTAATGAAGTCAAAAATGCTCAAAACATAATTATCTTTCTTATATTAACAAAGAAAACAAATTAAAGGGGTGACATTAAGTAGAAAAATTCTAGATAAAGTAACAAATAAAAGAAAATTTGCTGTTACAAAAATTTCATAGAAATGGCACCTTTCTATTAAATCCCAACTAGTTTAGGAATACTTTAACCCACTTAGTCACTTATACTTCAAAACAAAATTTTAAAAATATATAAATAAATCAATTTTTTCTAGTCTGAGTTAGTTAAAATCATCTCTGATCAGGATACGAAAATAACTCCTAAACAATACACATTCAAAATCATTGCTTTTCTAGGACTTGGATAAAATTCTAAAAATAATTCATGGATATTTATGAAGTTAAATATAATAACATCAATGAAATTTTCCATTATAGAAAGCAGTTTCAAGAAGCATCATAACTTTAACAAAAATTGACAAGGTGTATAAGGTAATCATGTCTAAATAATAATACCATAAATAAATAAAATAACCTACAGGGCAAGCATCCATGACTGCTACAAAAAAAAGTGGTAGCATACTGCTTCTATTAAAATAGAAAATAAAAAATTAACATTCACAAAAAAATCAAAATACTATTATAAAAGCATGAAAATTGTAATTTAAATATGTCACTTAATTTTTCCACCAAAGTTATGCAGAAGTTAAAAAATAATTACATAAAGTAGTTTAAATGCATTTGTATCTGATCCATCTCTCTAAAGCAACAAACTGTTATTACAACAAGAAACAACTGAAATCCCAACACCAGAAAACTTTATACATTGCCTCAATTGAATTAATGCAATAAAAATGCTTACCTTTAATTCAAATGCAAATTTCAAGAAATGTAAACTTACAGCACTGCTGCTTTGAAATAGAGTATTATAAATATGTAATAATTTGGAGCAAGATGTTTTTAGAATTTAAAGATTTCAAAGTAGCATTTAAAACTCAAGACATTAAGCTTTACTAAAAAATTCATCTAAAAATTTGAATTCTGATTATTATTATTATTATTATTATATTATTATTATTTTTTTTTTCTTGAAACATTACCAATTTTTCAGAGAGTTTCAACAATTACAAAATACTGATCTCTGTTTTTATTTGACTCATATCCTTTTAAACACATTCCATATAACATTTCTAAAATGTGAAAACAAAAAATAAAAATTTTAAATTCATTTATTCTCTTAAATGATATAAAGATGAATTTTAACATGCACAAAATTTCAAGATAAAAGTTTTATTTTAATTATTTGAATTTAGTGGTAACTTTAATCAATTTTAGGCCCAGTGGCTAGCACATAGCGCAGTAGCACCACAGGTCCGGGGTTCGATTCCCGGGCTGGGCAAGGTTGACTCAGCCTTTCATCCTTTGATTTCTATCACTTAGGTCAATAAAATGAGTACCAAGTTTGCTTCGGAACTAAACACTGGGGGTCCTGCGACAAACTGATTACTTGTTCAGGGCATATGCTTATGCACCCCAGGGCCCACGCTCAAGAAAGCAGATTTCTGGCACTGCAGGCCTTGGCCCATTAGGGTTGTTATGCCACTGAGTTTAGTTTTTTTTTTTTAAATCAATTTTAACCCTCTGAGTGGAATGACCACTTTTATCTGGTCTTTGCCCTTGCTATATATTAGTTTATAATTTAAAATATTTTGCTTTCTTACTTTCTTTATTGATGTAAATATCATGTTAATTAATGGTACTTTATGATTAGCTATTGATATTCGACACTAAATTATTTTGATACTTGCAGAAACTATGGTGTACAATATTTTACCAATCCTATACCACCAAAAATTTTACAATTTTTTCTTACATTTTTCATAAAATTTGCAAACAAACAATAAATAAGTTCTCCCAAGCTATTTTTTATGGAATTCTAGTACAAAATTTGATTTAAAGCAACTCCTGTAATAGTATTTTGAAGCAATTTGATGCCAGGTTTTTGTTTTAGTCAGTGATTTTTCCTATAGGAAGGGGATAATATTAGGATGTGCCATCATTCAATCTAATTAAAGAAAATCCTTATTACCACTGTTATTATCACTTTCTTAACCACAGCATTTATAATAAGCTCAAAATTTCTATCTCAATTTCTAAACAAAATATCACTCAAATAATATTATTTTAATAGATTAAAAATAAAAATTTCAAATGTACTTAATGCTTTTCTAATTATTATAAAATGATAGTTTTCATCATAAAAATTTTCCATACAATTTTCATAAATTGCTATAAAAAATTAAAATTCATCTAAAAATTTGAATTCTGATTATTTAATTTTTTTTTTCTTGAAACATTACCAATTTTTCAGAGAGTTTCAACTTCAATTACAAAATACTGATCTCTGTTTTTATTTGACTCATATCCTTTTAAACACATTCCATATAACAACATTTCTAAAATGTGAAAACAAAAAATAAAAATTTTAAATTCATTTATTCTCTTAAATGATATAAAGATGAATTTTAACATGCACAAAATTTCAAGATAAAAGTTTTATTTTAATTATTCGAATTTAGTGGTAACTTTATAGAAAGAAAATAGGGTATGAAGATGCGATGGACTATGTTTCGAGTAGCCTAACGTAACCTTGTTACATTTTAATATTGAAACACTTTTCTTTCCATAATCCTACTCTGAATTTTGGAGATTTTAACATTCTCATCAAAACTGTTATGTATTTACCATCGACAGTTTTTGTAGACCTCTTCTATTTTTTAACAATATATTACTCTGTCAGTCAGCTGTCTTAAACGGTCTCGACCTACAAATGGCTACATGGGTAAGAAAGCTGAATACTGGTAATTCAGGCCAGGTTCAGATCCTGGCCAATGAGGTCACATATAGAGTGTTTACACATTTTAAGAATGATTTCAGAGCCATTTAATTATGCTTAAAATGTAAAGAGTACTTTTTTAAGTGGTTGATCTATTTTTCTGGATTATAAGTCTTCCATGATAGAAGGGTTATTCATCAAATTTCCAGGGGTAGTAATTTCCATTACTTTTCACAGTTCATAAATTGTGGAGCATTTGCATTCAGAAAAAGCTTTTTCAAGAGACTAAATACAAAATAGTCCATAAGTAAAATGTCTGGAGACTTTGCAGGAATATATTGAAAAGGTATATATGCAATACCTGTATCAGTCTTCATCTTTTCAAGGAATGCAGTGGTATAATTAGAAGTATGACTTGTTGCTTTGTCTTGAAGAAATTTCAGTCTTTGAAAGTCATTGGGATAAAGAAATGGAATTTAATATCAGACGAAAAAATTTCTCTTGATAGTACGTTGAGTTGATTTTAAGAATTTTCCCCCACACTTCCTATTTTTAAGTCCCCACTCTTAAAGAACCCTATGACAATCATAAAGCCATTACTGAAACCTTCTTTGTATTGATGGAACCAGATTTGAACATTTTCACATTATTTTTAATTATAAATAGAACCCCCATTTTTCTTTTCTTTCTATTCCCCCCTGTTGCAGTCGTTTAGGTAAATCATGCTTCATCAAGGGTCACAAAATATTTCCATTTACCCCCTGCTAGTTTTAATACAGAATTCCACAAATTGTTTCACACTGAGCCACATGCTGGTGAACATTGTTTTTAGCTTTTTAAGTTGGTTCACTGTTTTACTTATTGTTGCTACAGATGTACTTAAAGATTTTACAATTTATTTCTGTGCCTCTTGTTACAAATGATTTAACTTTAGAAACATTAGAAATAATACATGCCTTTTTTTTTTTTTTTTGCATTCATTTGAAATCAATCTACTTTCCATGTATAATTAATAATTGAAGGTTTTTCCCTTTTAGATAAATAACATTGCTTATTTTGAACTTCGAAATTTTAATACCACGCAGTTTACAATATTTTCAAATTATGGAATACAAATATTTCTCTTTGAAAAGCACAAAAACATGTCCTTCAATCCAGAGTTTGTTTACATGCGACATTTTGAAAGAGCAATAAATTTGGTAGCAGAGGACATTCCTTATATCAAATAATAAGGTGTTACCAAAAACGTCTATTCTAAAACATTTACTTTCAAATTCTTTATCGAAATCCTTCTAAAAGTGTGTGAACACTCTCTGTAAATATGGTCCTCCAAGAAAGCATCCTTCTTTTAGGAAGAAAGTCCCATGTGCTTTGTATCAATTAGTTAATCAAGCAACTAAATTAAAAATTCTTGGACTACAGTGGATTTCACTTTTGAGTTAATCAAAGTAATAATTTTATTTCTTTAACAAGTCAGGTAACGCAGGAATCTATCGCATTATCTTAGGAAATGTATCTCAAAGCAAACAGCAATATTGCTATTCACTGCTTTTAAAATATTCCAGAATTTTATTACTTACATAATTAAAGTAATACAGTACAAAGTCCATAATCCGGACTCATCGGGACTTCGGCGATTTCGGATTAAGAGTTTTTCCGTATTACTGATCATCAATTAAAATCTGGTAAGATGGCATGCAGAAATTATACAATTAAAAATATGAAACCATAATTAATGAAATAAAGAGCAATTATGATCTAACGGGTATCAAAATTTACAAAAAGCTTAATATTTATTTGTTTACTTTATTAAACATTTCTTTCAATGTAAGTGTTTAAGTCGCTTCGTTTTTTTGTGCTAAACATGCATAAGCATTAAACGCGCATGCGTAACATTAAACGCACATGCGTAAACACATTAAAAAAAGTTTATGACTTTGACGTCCGGATTATAGATCATTCCAGATAATGGATATCTGGATTACAGACTTTGTACTCTATACACATTTTTTAACATAAATACGCATTTTAATATTAAAATGCACACCTTTTTAATATACCACAAAATCATTTTGCAAATACTTATTTTTCCCTTAAAAAATAAAATACAAGATTTATATGGATGTATTATTTTATATGGATTTTAAACTTATACAGAAGCTTGTCTAATTTCAAAAATAGTTCTTAACATTATTTTAGTGCAAATGTAGAAGTCTCAATGACTTGTAATTTCAAAAATAAAACCAAGTGATAACACTTTAGAGCAGGAACATATCCTAAATAGAAGAAAAAGCTATTATTCTTACTTACTTTCCTTTTACAAATGTATCTAATGCGGATAAGTACATTTTCATATATGCAGGAAGTTTTCTTGGTTTCTAAACATAAAAGCAAATTAACAATTTAAAAAGCTCAATTAATGAGAAATAACATGTAAAAAGACAACATAAAAGATGCTATCAAAGATGAAAAATGCAAGTTATAAATATATTTAATTATTGAAAATATAAATTATTACAATAATTTTACAACTGCATAATTTAAAAATTTAAATTATTTTAAAAATATCTTTAAAATAATTGCTATATCAAATTTCTCTTATTTGCAAATTATGAAGGAAAACAATGTATTAATTCTCCCCCCCCCCAGTGTTAGCAACTTCTGTTATCAGAAATTTGGTTTATGATATACTGATGGCTTCTTTTACTTCTTTACCAGTTGCAAGATTATGCAATTCTTTCTTCCCAAATAAGTGCAGTATCTGTCAATCATTAATCTGTAAAGTGAGCTGATACATTTCCACCCACTTTGGCGCATAGCTGGAATGCGAGCTGAACTCGCTGATGATTATTAAAGGTATTCTTTGCATTTAACAAAGAACTGTCATCTGATCTCTTGAAGCCTTCAGCAGTTTAAATCATATTTCTCTAATTGCATTTACATATCTTTACATATTTTGAATTTATTGGATTATATTACCTATTATTACTTTTATGTAAATCTGAATCCCCAAAAAATTATGAGCTTTATTTCACACTGTTTAACAAAAGAGAACTTTAAAAAGGATGACTATGCAAAAATCTTGTACAAAAGTAAATGCTGAAAATGAGTCTTTAACTGGCAGGTAGCTTCTGTTAAAATATGCAGAAAAACTAGCCTGAGAAAATGAAAGATATATGATAAAAAAAATAAATACGATATATATGATAAAAAAATAAAGGAGAAGAAATGATGCAAAAAGTATAACACAATCCATGTACTGCAGTGTATCATTAAATACAAGATTATACATTTGAACCCTCTTCTAGATAATTTTAATGTTTTTCTAAAATTATTGTTAAAATAGTTTCAATTATTACTCAGATGTTCGAAGTTATATTGAAATTGGTATTATTAATACTTTCAATGTTTACACTAAAAACTGAATTAAAAAAATCCTTTAATTCAATCCAGTTCATTATTCTGATGATTTACTCATTTTCTACTAAATGTGGTAGTTCCCCCCCCCCTTCATTTTCAATATCAGTTGCTTTGGTATTCAATGTCAGTTGCTTTGGTAGATGAATGCCTATTATATGTCACAATAATTCTATATTACACTTGACCAAGGTAAAGGGACAAAATATCATTAAATTGTTTAAAATTAATTAATTCAATCTTAGACTGCTATTAATTTCAAGGAAATGATCTTTCAAGAAAATCTGACCCCAATTTCAGATTGAATTTAATCTAATTTTAAAATTGACTTCTCTTACATCTACAATTTAAAAAACAGAAACTTTCCTTCAAAACATTGATGCCAAATTTTATTTTTAAATTAGTCTAAAAGAAACAATAATTCATTCTTAAAAAATATGCACCTTCTTTTCAGCAGAAGTTTCTTTTTCCAGCTTTCTAAAACATAATACCTGAAATACAAAATACAAAAAGTTAACACAAATTTTAATTTTCCATATCACAAAAGTATGTTCAAATGCTGAGAAGAAAGTTTAAATTCCCATCTAACAAAAAAATGCAAATTTCTATAATTTATCATAATACATAAAAAGTTTTAACACTTTTCCCAGTGAGAAGATAAGTAAATAACATGGTTGTTTTATAGAGGGACATAACAGCAATTTTGAATCAATCTTACATCCAGAATAATTTAAAAACATAAATAATTCATTTGTAATACTTTAAATAAAGTAAACTCTCAAAAAAGTATTTTTCAACTTACCAGAAAAACACAGAGTGAATATATCTTTGTAGCTATTGTCAAATTATTTTCTAAAAACAGAAATAAAGAAATAAATAAATAGATAAATAAATAAAAATAAAGTCAGAATTTCTAATGAAGTTTAAAAAAATAAAATAAAAAAAACTGAATACAAATGTAGCATAGCTTTTGTTAAGTAGAATATAAATCAAAACAGAAGAGATGTATGCCAAAGTAAAACATAACATCAGCAAAGCAACAACTTTGTGTTTGGTGTGTTGTGTGACTATAGTCAATAGTCAAGACTATTGATTCTGAGAACAAACAGGTACACATCTCTCTTCACCAGGTGCAAAGAAATCTGCAACAGAGAGAAAAACTAGGGTAGTATTTAAAATCTAAAAGAAAAGCCAGTGTTCATCCAAAAGGCTTCTTTCACAAATGAATTGGATTTTCTTGAAGCTTTTTGCACTCTCAGAGATTTATCTTGTTTAGTGAATGACTTTAATTCCTATCCAATTTTTCGTAATGCTTTTAAAATTTTATTAACTTAATTTTTCAATTTTTGTTACTATTTTCCCTGACAAATGGCATTATCTTTTTGCTCACTTTACTCCTTTCCAGTATAAATACAACTGTGGCTTTCCCTTCATTGCAGATTTCTTGGCTCTGGAAGATGAGGGATCTATATCTGTTTGCCCTCAAAATCAATCAAGTTTTGAGCATGTAAAGATTACTTTCTAACCAAGTAAATGATATATATTCTAAGTATAAAGAAACGTCTTTCATAAATTACAATTTTTAACTCTCAGTTGCTTAAAAATTGCATATATTTTTTTAATGTATATGCTACCGGCAAAGTATGAAATGCCGGCATTCTAACGATTATAGGCAAAGTATGAAATATGAAAATTATTACATACTTTCCCTAAGCATTGTGTATAATATACTTAGGCATTCTATAGAATGACAAATACTCTTCAAGCAAAGTATGAAAATGATAAGGCTGTTATTTAAAAGATGTCTATTCATCAAAAACACAAATGTTATTTTGAAAAATTAATTAAAAAGTGCCATTAAAAAAACTGTTATTCAAAATATATAAAAGAAAGATAGTGAGGTATCTTGATACAGTGTAATAAATTTGTATTTTCTATCTGGCTGAGACTGGGAATTGGTAAGATCTACCTGACAGCGGAAATTAAATTTAGAAACAATCATAAGTTTCACAACAATGCTTTTTTTAATACCTTTTTGTTTCTTTTTTCTGGTAAGGCTCACAAAAGTTGTTCTACACTTCAATATCATTACATGGAATGTTTTTGTATTTGGTTGAAAGTTATTTCAACATTCTGTCACGTTGTCATTCATATCCAGTACTCAAATGAGTTTTCGTGAAATACTGGAAATAACTCAGTGTCCGTGACGTAATACTGTATAGTATGACACCTTCTTTAACAGGATCAATGAATACAATTTTATTTTCCACAAAAATACAACTGTGGTGATTCAGAAACCAGTAGTCCCATGGTTACTTCTTAATAGTCACGTTGGCTTTTTTACATCATTTATTAACTTCTGGTAAGTAGTTTGGTTCTTCAAAACGAATTGCAAATGTATTTCATACTTTGCCGGTTTGTCATTTGGCATTCCATAGAATGCCTAGGAAATATGAATCATTTCATTTTTAGGCATTATATACAATGCCTAGGCATTTTATAGAATGCTGGATTTCACCCTTTGCCGGAAACATAACATATATTTCAAATCTACACATATTTGCAAGTTAAAATATGAAGCACATTCTTGTAACATAGATTTCGTGCACAGGAACAGGTTTTCATAAAAATCAGTTTTAAAAATAATCACATAAAAGACAAAAATTCTGAAAAAATCAATCTTGATTAAACTATGATTTATTTTGCAGAATAAAAATGTAAAATATATATATACTAATGAAAATATTAATATCTAGTGTAATACACATATTACACTAGATATTAAATTTGCTGTGGCAAATTTCAAAACAATGTTTCAGCTAAAGTCACGAATTAGGTGCAATTAATTATATGCAAAGCCACATTCTTTGCATATAATTAATTGCACCTAATTCGTGATTTTTTATATTTTATTAATTTTTTTTAAAGCAACAACAGCACACTGTTTGTAAAGCTCTTTTTTATGGGGTTAAGAGGTATGTGGCTTGCAAAATGAAATGAGGTGTCAATCTCAAAGAGCTGAGAGTAAAATTAGGTTTTCCAGATGTATCACATGTATCTTCATCTGAATACTTTTCGATACTTTGCTCCATCATTTGCAAACGAAATTCCAGAAGCTTTAATTTTTGCAATTGGTTGTCCTTTTTGTAAAGTACAAAAGCACTCCATAGAAACTGATCCAATTCTGGACAGTTAATGAAGTATTTTTGGATTCATCATAACCTGGAGATGTGTGAGAAATAACAATCTGTTTTGCTGTCACTGCCTCTTTAAAATAACTAAAATCGCTTTCAGTATCAGAAACATTATTAGGGACATATGTTCTATCACTTATTGAATGTTTCATGCAAGCTTTATTCTGAATATAAAAAAGGAAAAGGATATGAGTGGGAGTGTTTGCAAAATCAGTTAGTGAACTCTATGCAAATACAAAAAAAAAAAAAAAAAAAAAAAAAAAAAATGCATTATTGATGATTAAGCAGGGGGAGAACTAGGATGTGCTTTTAAATACAGGGGAAAACTGCATTCTCACGAAAATCGCTGGATCATCAAATTTTGTTCATTCTTCCTGTTGCCCAAGGAAATTGCAGGATAAGCAATCAGAGGGTTAATGCTATTTATTATTTACTTTGCATGAAAGTACACTGGTGGCCATTAAAATTGCAACACCGGGAAGGAATGATCTGACAAACATATATCTGACGAATGAAAAGGAAGAGGTTGGGATATGCTAATGATTAGTATTTCAGCATATTTAGACGATGCAGGAGGGAGAAACGACATCTGAAGCACAGGAGCATAAAAGAAAAGCTGTGTTTCCGATTTCTCTATAGCGATTTGTAAGGTCGGAGTTTGTTCAGAATATTGTGTTATGCCTTGAATAATAAGAAATGCTTACCAGAAAGTGTCAGAATTCAATAGAGGCAAGATAATTGCCTATCGAGAGTGTGGATTATTGTTCCATGATATCACCCATTGGACTGGTTGACATCCAACCACTGTCATGCAAATATGGAATTAATGCGTTGCTCAGGCTCATACTGAACAGCAACATGCAGGACCTCAACACCCTCCAATGACTAATGCCTGAGGGTAGAGATATTTTGTAGAGTCAATCCTGCAAAAGCATACAGTCACATCACGGACCATTAGGAAATGGGCATGTTTGCAGCATGTCAAGTATCCGCTCGTATGGTGCATCGACAATTAATTTGGCTTGCCTTTACAATGCAGCATGGAGAGAGACAGAGACTCTGGTATCCAGAATAACAAAGTTGGATACAGGAGTGGCACAATGTCATCTTTTCAGATGAGTCCCAGTTCTGTGTGCAGTATTCTGATGGCAGTATACGTGTCTGGAGGCTCCATGAAAACTGCACGTCACCTGCTTGCATTTGATATTGGCATAGGGACCCTGCACCTGGTGTGATGCTTTGGGCAGCCATTGGGTACACGACATGCACATCTCTAAGTTTGAATCGATGGTAATTTGAATGCAGACCGGTACATTTCTGACATCAGTGGTTGTGGCCGATCCTCGAGGGTTCACAAATGCCATTTTTCAATAAGATAATGTAAGACCACAAGTTGCACGTCGTGTTTTGACCTTCCTCAATACACAGGGTATTCTATTGCTGCCCTGGCCTGCACAGTCTCCAGATCTGTCATATATTGAAAACATCTGGAAATGGGTTGCTGAGATACTGGCCCGCCACCCCTATCCAGCTAATATGGTCAATGAAGTGTGGTATAGACTTGAAGCAGCATGGAACGAGTTGCCTGTTTCTGTCATCCAAGTCCAGTTCGACTCCATGACTAACTGGGTAAGGGCTATTTTAACTGCAAGGGCTACCACATACTTCTACTAATTTCAAAACCCTGTCCCCTTCCCCAATATTGCTTACAAATGTGATTTGTCATTTTGTCTTCATGCCATACTGTATACGCACAATAAATATCTTTTTTATATTTTCTTTCCTTCCCAGAGTTGCCAGCAGTGTATATAAACATAAAATTAAAAAAAATAACAACATATAAACATAATAATAAATATGTACTATAAATTTTTGCCATAAACTGCTTTCTCCAAATGAAAACATTCCTTTAAACTACTTGTTGGGAAACAAATACAACATGTTACGCTATTTAGAGTTAAAAATAAAAATTTTACACTTTCTTCGGTTTCACTATCAATGAAATAAGTGAAGGAAGACGAATGTAACACACACAAAATTATTATACAAATTGAAATTTTCTATGTGTAGTTACAAAAGGAAAGTACAATCCACTCATACAAAAACTCATAAGCACCTATAAAAATAACAGACATTCAACAGAGCATAACTGAATGAAAAACATATTGATGATAACATCCGTCTAAAATTTATACTCAGTTAAAACAGACTTACCTTTATGACATTTGGCTATTAGGACATCTAAAAGTTGCTTTAATTCTCCTTTCTCAACACCTTTGCTATCTTGAAACTAAGTGTATCAAAATAATTAGTTAAAAGAAAAATTTCACAAAGCTACCTGATGAAAACAATAATTAAATACAGAATATACAGTTTATAAAGTCCTGAAGCCATTTTGATGTTTAATAATTCATAAAATAATAAAGATAGATTAAAATTAATAACATAAATGGTTAGATAGACTCAAAAAGTTTCATGACCCTTGTCAATGAACTTCCATGTGAACCCCCTTCATCGCACAGAGAATATTAAGTCGATATTCAATTTCACGCCAGCTACCGGCAAGCATGTCGGCATCCACAGAGGCTATTGCGGTTGTAATTCTGGCTTTTAGGTCATCAATGTTCGACACTCTCCTCCTGTAAACGTTGTCCTTTACAAATCCCCAAAGGAAAAAGTCCAGCGGCGTTATATCAGGTGATCTGGGTGGCCAAGGAATTGGACCTCCTTGCCAAATTCATCTTCCTGTAAAATGGTCATTGAAAGAACTATGAACGATGGTACCGCAATGAGGTGGTGCACCATCTTGTTGCAAAAAAGACATGTGGCTAAAGCTCTTCTAGTTGTGGAAATACAAAGTTTCCCAACATGTCTAAGTATACGACTGATGAGACCATTTTTTCTGTAAAAAAGAAAGGCCTAGTGACTTGGTCGTGCATTAGTCCACACCACACATTAACCTTTGGGGAATCCCTTTGTGCCTCACGGTATTCATGGAGGTTTTCAGATCCTCATATGCGCACATTATGGCGATTTATGATGCCAAAAACATGAAAGGATGCTTCGTCGGGGAACATTATGCGCTCCAGAAATTAATAAGCAGACGATATTTAGAAAAGTACAGATATTTATACTGGAAAATGAAATTATCTGAAATTAACCCCACTCGCAGATGATATTTACAAAAGTAAAGATATTCAAACCTGAAAAGGAAAACATATAAGTTATTTCATCAATAAATGCCATAAGTTTGTTTATATCTTCATTATTTTATAAGTTATTAAACATCAAAATGGGTCCGGGGCTTTATAAACATCCTGTATATTTTTCAGTGTTATTAAAATATTATTAATTGAAATCTGTTACAATACAGAAAATTAAAACTTTTTTGGATAATAAAGCACTATTTATTTTAAAGCAAATGAATATATTTTAAAAGCACATAAAGTAAGGGAAGGAAATACATAATTGTCCAGCGTTTACTTTTTTTATTTACAAATTATACCGAAATACAAGATCAACTGTTAAAACTGTTAGGATCTTTAGGGTCTTTATTATGTTTTTCTGAATATTTAGCATAATCTCTCTTTCTCCCTTATTTTAGGAAGAGAAGGTAGTTCATACAGAATAAATCAGTGAGAAAAAGAAATGATTAAGAATAATTAAATGTTTCTTTGCAATCAATCACTGCATAATTATTGCTCTGTGTGAAGAGAATGCTATTGTTTTTCACTACTCAATTTTAGATCTTCCTTAAGCAAACGATATTTTAAAATTTAAGATATGTAAACTGATTGACACCTTAGTTGGGACTGATTGAAAAAATTCAGTCCCAAAGCTTGTATTTAATGCTACAGTTAAAAAGCCACTTATCTTTGAACGTACTAGTATTATGTAAATTACTTCTTAAAAATAAGTCTCATTTTTAATGTAAGGACACTGGCCTTTTCCCAATCACAATATTCATAATTTTAATACAAGAAATTTTTAATTTGAGCATTTCTCCTTTTCTATAGATGCATACTTATTTCTGATGTTACCTATATGCATATACAGTACAAAGTCCGTAATCCAGACTCGTCGGGACTTCGGCGGTCATATACAGTACAAAGTCTGTAATCCGGACTCGTCGGTTCCAGATTAGGGGTTTTTCTGAATTATAGATCATCAATTTAAATCTGGTAAAATGGCATGCAGAAATTATACAATTAAAAATATGAAACCGTAATTTATGAAATAAAGAGCAATTATGATATAAAGGGTATCAAATTTTACAGAAAAAAGCTTAATATTTATTTGTTTACTTTATTAAACATTTCTTTCAATGCGTGCATGCGTAAAGCATACATTACGCATAGTCAAAATTAGAAAATTCCAACCAGAAAACTATTTGATGTGTATTCATGATATTTATAAATGACGAGGGAAATTTTGATTTAAATCATATCAAAGATGAGAGTACATCGGAGATGAAATACTACATTTAGTAAGAAATTATAAGCCGAATAAAATAAAAACATTTGCCCTGATAATTAATGAGATAGTGCTGACAGATCAAATTCCAGTTCATTGCGTGCCGCGACCACGACCCCCACCCCCACCCCTCCACAGAGCAGCGTGAAATTGATAAACAGATTTCGGAATGGTTAGAGAAACAAATCATTAAGCCAAGCTGTTCTGATTACCCAAGTAATATCGTGCTAAGTAGAAAAAAATGCGTTTCATTTAGACTATGCCTGGACTTAAACGACACTTAAAACCTGATGAATCCCTTTCCGAATATTTAATTGCCATGCGTGAAATAGCCAGTCGCGGTTCTGTTGATGATTCATCAATTCTTGATTATGTAATCATGGGATACCGGATCAGAGTAGTAACAAAAGGTACTACAGTCAAAAGTCGTTAATTCGGACACCCATAATCCGGACCTCAAAGCTAAAAACTTTCTGCGCATGCACAGCGTTGGCACATGCGTTTTACGCATGCGCGTAAGACCTTGACTACTGCGCATATGCGTGTGCGCAACTGCAGAATACGTTTTCGCTTGCGCGTTTAATGTATAACGGACGGTGTAAGCTAAAATTATCTAATTATCTATTTCAGTTAATGTTAATGATTGCATTGTCCCTTAATCTTCGAATTGGATCCCGCTTATTATTTTTTGCAGACTGTAAGAGCAATTTTTAAAAGTAAACTTGAACTTCGATTATGTCAAATAGAATTTCCGATGCTGGAACTTCCAAAGGATCTACAAAACGAAGTATGTTTCGATGTCCAACAAACAAAAGTGGAATTGCTGCAAAAAATGGATAAAGACATGAAGAATGCGACAGAGAGGTTAGTGAAAACGAAAAAATTTCGATTGACAAGTTAGTCGGTATTCTCGGCACAGCAATTAACGGGACTTGAACAGCGGAACTTTGTAACTGAACAAGAAATTATGTCTTTTTATAGAATTAAAGAGAAAGTATTATCACATAAAATGAAGCAACTTAAACAACTTACATTGAGAGAAATGTTTAATAAAGTAAACAAATAAATATTAAGCCTTTTTTTTTTTTTTTTTTTTTTTTGTAAATTTTGATACCTTTAGATCATAATTGTTCTTTATTTCATAAATTACGGTTTCATATTTTTAATTTTAGAATTTCTGCATGCCATCTTACAAGATTTAAACTGATGATCTATAATCCGGAAAAATCGATAATCCGGAATCGCCGAAGTCCCGACGAGTCTGGATTAACGACTTTTGACTGTATTCGATTTTGAGGGGCGTAAAAAATCACCAAACTATTGTTGATACCAGTGCTGCCAAAAATAACTGCGGCAACCCTAACGCAAGAAAGAAGTATAATAGTATATAATTACTGCATGTTTATCAGCACATGAAAACTTTTGTATTGACTCATGCAGCAATGCCCAGACAATCTTTTTTTTATATTAGTAATTAAATAAAAAAGAATATGGTAAATTTTATATTAGTAATTAAATAAAATAAGAATATGGTTTCATTTGACATTACACTTGCTGGTGATTATAGATTTAAGTTAAATGCGCTAAGAAATGTTGATGAGGAAAAGTTTTAACAAAATTTTCTTTCCATATGCTAAAAATAGATTTTGTTAATGATACTCATAGGTCAAAAGGTTATATTTTGTGCTATTTGAATTAAGAATAACTGATTTGTTATTCACATAAACTTAAAACCGGTGTCAGGGCTCGTATGGTCACACCGATGGCAGAAGTTAGGGAGGACATACAGAAGCACCGAGCAACAAAATTAAGAGATGACAAAATTTTTAGAATTCACATAAACCCAGAACCAGAACTCGTACAGCTGGCAACAGAAGGTGGAATTTTTAGAATTTATAATAGAATCACAGAGAAACAAAATTAAGGAATAAAAAAAATTTTAGAATTTAAGAAAGCATCAAGACCCAAAATTTAAGTGCGGCAAAAATTTACAACTTAGGGAGGCGCTTGTTAGCAGAATTTAGGACTGCATCAGGCGGTAAGATATCTAGCGCCAGCCCTCGATAAGCCTTAAGTATCTGTGGGAATTTATTTATTCAGGACTCAGATAAGCCTTAAGCACGTGCAAGAAATAGACATAAGTATAAAAAATAACTAAAATAACAGAATTCAGGCTTAATTGTCTCATGCACAATAGAAGCAAGACAAAATTTAGCAAAATAACTTTTCTTTCGACGTCAATCTTGCGATAGCTGATACTCTCAGCTGATAATGAAGCTGCTAAACTATTTGCAGATGAATTTATTGAATTCGCTAATAGTGATAAGTTATCTCAACAAATTTACAAAGCTGAAAAAACTGGTCTTTTCTGGTAATATATACTGTGAAATACCTTGACATACTGTACAGAAAAGTCTCCAACTGATGTCAAAGATTCCAAAAACGAGACTAACGATTCTAGCATGCGCAAATGCTGCAGGAATGCATAAGCATACAGCTTTAGTAATCCGAAAAAATACACCACATCGAAGATTTAAAGGAGTAAAGATTTCCCCATTATATATCATGCAAATAAAAATCCATGGATGACACAAGCATTAATGAATGTTTGGTTTGATAATCATTTCATGCCCGAGTCTTGACAGCATTTGAATTCAGTTGGTTTACCTGATGATTGTATACAACTTTTGGGCTCATACTTCACTTAAAGTTTGAGTGAAAAGATAGTGTATCCGCATTATTCTTTTGTCCAAATTGTACATCCATCACTCAGCCTATAGATATCGGAATAGTACGCGAGCTGAAATGCATGTAAAAAGTAACATTTGTAAAGTCCACGTTAAATTTTGTGAATAATGGCAAGACTATTCAAGACTTTTTGAAATATTTTAGCATAAAATCTGCTGTATGGAGCATCGCAAGATCGTTGGAGATTGTCCTTCCAGATACTTTAAAAAATGCTTGGTATAACTTATGGACAGCTACCATATTTTCTGGTGAGACTGAAGATAGCCATGAATTTGAGTTTTCGGATATCGCAAAACAAATGTGAAATTTCCCTACTAATGGATTTTGTAAAGAAATGTGAAGAAGTAGTAATAAATGAAGATGATATAACAGAAGTTTTTCATTGTGATGACAATGCCCCAATCTTCAATCAATTAACTGATGAGGAAATCTGTTTGTATGGTTCTAGATCCAGAAAATGTCACTACAAATAGTGTAGAAAGTGATAGAAAGGTTACTAAAAAAGAAGAAAAATTTCCTGATGAGGTTGGAATTCTCGTAGCAACAATTGCAGGATGAACAAGAAATTAGATTTATGTATAGAATTAAAGAGAAAATATTAGCACAGAAAACGAAGCAACTTAAACAAACTTAAATCGAAAGACATTTACTAAGCCTTTTTTTCATAAATTTTGATAGTCTTTAGATCATAAATGCTTCATTATTTCATAAATCACGATTTCATATTTTTAATTTTATAATTTCTACATGCCATCTTGGTAGATTTAAACTGATGACCTAATACCCGGAAAAATCCCATATTCGGGATTGATTGAAGTCCCAACCAGTCCGTATCTCAGACTTTGTACTGCATATGTCTTTCCTAGAACAATACAATAAGAGTTATTTGTTCAAATTCAATCTCAGTTTTAAACGAGACCTCCCTGACAGTCTTACAATCCACTTTCTCAAACATCAGTCTTTTTATTAAGGACTTCCCGTAAGCATAGACTCCAGTCTACAGCAAATACCCAAGCAGTCAATGAGTGAATAACATTTTTACAAGTTTGAAACTGTGCACGTACAGAATATTTCTTTAATTATCTGTCAAATGTAATTAATTTAATTATATTTAGCTTAAAATACAAAAATATTAAAAAAAATTAACTATTTCGTGTAAATTATATGTATATTTAATTAAAATTTTTCATTTTATTACTCCAGAAATATCACATATCTACTAATAAATTATTGAAGCAAATGATTTTAGTCTTAATAATCAAAGAAGAAATCCATAAATCATATAACTTTGAAAGTTTTGGATTCTGATTTCTACACAAGGCGTGGTGAATTATATTCTAGATACAGCCATATATATAATCATCAACAAAAATAACTTATACTTCATTTATATAACATGTTTCACAAGCTTAACTTCTGCATTAGAAAATTTTTTCCTGTAACACATTTGCTACATGTTTACTTTTCAATGAGAATGGCTTTAAGGACTTTCATACCTAAATTTGTTCAAAATACTTTTTTTTTAAATAATAGAAAAAATTCTTTCATGGGTTGCATTTAAATGAATTTTTCCCCTACTAGGGGAGAATCTTCAAAAATATTGCATTTTAAAGGCTGCTTTGAATAGTCCCAAAATGAGATTGGAAGATTGTGTTCAACTAAAAATCGAATTAAATGGCACTCAACTTCTACAACATCCATTTCACCTTAAATGAAAAAAAAAAAAAAAATCTTATATTTCTTTCCAGTTTATAGCATTAATTTCTTTATGCCTTTGAGTGAATATGTGCCATTTACAGTCCTCTTTTATACTATGCACAACCAAATTTCTTGTTTTTGTTGCTACTGCAAAGTGCATGATTTGCAGAAATGTTAGAGGCTTTAACCCTTTGAGGGGCGGTATATAAAATAATTTAAATTGTGGTAAAATTTTGCATGAATTATAACTTATGGACCCTAAGGTCATAAAATTGAGGCTTAAAAAAATCTAGAGGGAAATCCTAAATTTAGAGAGTCGGTATATATTTTATACTGACGCCCCTCTAAGACATTTTTTTTTTCCAGTTAGCTGCCAATTGTTAATTTTTGTTTTTTGAATTAATTTTGTGCACTTTTGATGTGCATCTGTAGAGATGGGTGCTTGAATATAGTTATGTAAGTCTAAAGAAAAAAATTTTTTAAATTTCGGTAGAAATTAAAAATTTTAAAAATAAAATGTATGTTTTTATGCACTTAACTAATATGGGCAACCCGGCTGAACATACTTATGTAAAATATGGGTAAAAAGCTTTTGAACTTGATTTAAATTCAATATTATTATTTTATAAAAAAAATTAGTAAATATGACACTGCATGTGTAAATCGTATCATGCTGCAACTGAACTAGTATAATATTGCAAGGAGATACAGTCAAAAGTCGTTAATCCGGACTTGTCAGGACTTCGGCGATTCCGGATTATCGATTTTTCCGGATTATAGATCTATAAACTATTATAATGTATAGGAGAAGCCTGGTGCTGCCATCTGTTGGCAAGGTACCCTCATTAGAAATGCCGGTATATATTATATACCAGTATTAAAAACGTACACATAATCTTCTTTTAATTATCAATTTTGATTGAAATGCAGTAAATATAAAAGGTTCAGCATGTGTACGTCATATATTTACAGATTTTGAATTTTTTCTTTCCCTCCAATAGAATTTATCAATCTTCAAACATGATATCTTGGAACGAGGTAATTAATTTCATAACTGCAAAATATTGAGCATTCATAGGGTGGTGCTGCCATTTAGAATCGAAAGGAAATACTAGAAACTTACGATTATAGCTTTTGGTGTAGAGAAATTAGCATTTTTTCCAAGGTTAAAAAATTGATAAACAAGTTTCAAAGATTTAATGCATGGAAATTCTATAGAATACGAGTCTAAATTTCTGGCTCAACAATTTAACCTCTTATTCTGAACTGGTATAATTCACGAATTTAGAAACTTCCAGTTTAGCCACAACTGACAAGAAACACAAGCTGCATTTTCTCGCCGTAATAAAACCAAATGGAACCTGCAAGTTAAACAAGTCATAACTAGCTAAGTCCCTAACAGTCATTGGAGAAATAAGTTGATTTTGTTTTACATATCATTCTACTTGTTCCCTTTCAGTAAATACAAGTTCCTTTGATATTTTCCATAGATCATATTTTTGAAGGAATTTCCTTAGAAACTATAAAGAATATAGCTGGAGTCATAATTAGCATAATGGTACATTACAAAACATAACAGAAAATGCAAATAATATTTTCTAAACAAATTACCTTCCTTAACTTTGCCATGACTTGAATTGTTGAAACAGCTTTCAGTTGGAGTTGTTTCTGATGTTCACCTGTATGCCCAAATTCATATGCAGCTAAAACAGGTTCAATGCATTGCAAAACTAAATGCATGGGTGGCTCAGATTTTAAATATGTTACAATTAGGTCTAAGCACCTAAAATAATCAAAATACAAGTTTTATTAATGCATCATTAGACTAATTAAAATAAGAAAAGAAATGTCCCATATCATTATGTAATTATTTATTTCTTGAAATTACTAACATGTCAAAAAATTAAAATTTTCACTATTCACATACTTGCCAATCTATGAATTTTCTCAACAAAAAAATTTTTTTAATGATAAAAATACATAAAAAGAAAATGTATTTTTTCACAATAAATTAACTTTAAATAATAATAAAAAACTAGATAAACATTTCTCTGAAGATAACCAGCATGTGCATACATATTTCAAACATTTTCTTATTTCAGTATTATGTAGCTGTTAGAATTGTTTCAATTTTTCTCTCCTTTTAGAACTTTTTCAAAATAATAATAAATATTAACAATGTATTCATCCACACTTTTATTGGTAAAGAAGCTGCCCCTTTTTCAGTTGCTAAATTTAAGAGGTGACAAGTACGGGGCACCTCATAATTTGCAAATCTGAATTTTCTTCTTCAAAAAAATACCATTACTGGCACCATTACTGGCATTTCGATTCCATGAAACATTTTCTAAATAAAGCTGTAGCATTATCCAAAGTATTCAGTGGAAAGTTGTGCTCCAGTAAAAAAGCAGAGAATAGGCATTCTGCATTAATAACTTTTTGGTCCTTTGTTTCCACAGAACTTAATCCCCCCCCCAATATAACTGACATTGTCCTTGTGTACACAAATTTTAAAAACATCAGCCCTTCCACTGTGCAAATCAAAATATTGCAATGACAAAAGGTGAACATCCCACATGTATTAAATTTTCTTGACAAAATAATAGAAATAAAAGCCATCTGTGTATGATTATAGAAATATTCACAAATATTTTAACCTTTTTTTGCAGGAATTGGAAATGTTAGTAATCTATCAAAGTAATGAATAAATGAACCACGACTGCAATTTATAGAGCTTGAATCCAGACACAACAACAAAATATTTAAAGATAAGCATCTGGTGTTCTAGTCATTACAGGTCACAGTTTCTTTCACACTAAGCTGATCAAATCATTATCTGCACACAGCACCATCAATACATTAAAATTCTCTACATATCCTCCCCACATGAATGAAGTTCATCATAACTCAAATTTTCATCTATATGAATATCAAATGAATAACATTCTAATTATTACATATCTAATAAATTAATCTAATGAATATCAAAATTATAATTCAATAACAAATTCACAAAAAGTTAACATAATAAAAAAATAATTTCGTATAAGGTTTGTAAACTTAATAATACAGTACAAAGTCTTTAATCCGGACTCGTCGGAACTTCGGCGATCCCGGATTAGGGGTTTTTCTTGATTATAGTTTATCAATTTAAATCTAATAAGATGGCATGCAGAAATTATAAAATTAAAAGTATGAAACCATAATTTATGAAATAAAGAGCAATTATGATCTAAAGGGTATCAAAATTTACAAAAAAAAAGCTTAATATTTATTTTTTTACTTTATTAAATATTCCTTTTAATAGTTGTTTGAGTTGATTTTTTTTTTTTTTTTTTTTTTTTGTGCAATATTTTCTCTTTAATTCTATAAACAGACATAATTTCTCATTCAGTTCCACTTTTCAAGTCCTGTAATTGGTGTGTTGAGAATACCGACTAACTTGTCATTCAAAATTTTTTTGTTTTCAATAACCTCTTTGTCACTTTCTTCACTTTTGGAAGCGGTACATCGAAACATGCTTTCACTTTGTGATCCTTTTGCAGCTCCAGAATCGGAAACTCTTTTTGACATAATCAAGAGTTCAAGCTTACTTTTTATAAAATTGCTCTAACAGTCTGCAAAAAATAATAAGCCGGATCCAATTAGAAGATAAAGGAACAACGCAATCTGCAACATTAACTGAAATAGATAATTTTAGCCTAGCTTATACCGTCCGTTATACATTAAATGTGCATGCATAAACGTATTATGTGCATGCACAGAAAGTTTGTAGCTTTGAGGTCCGGATTATGGACGCCCGGATGAAAGACTCTGTACTGTAGTCCTTTAAAGTCAATCATAAAGTACTTTAGTCCTATATTTTAAACTGGTATAGGAGTTGAACTAGTCTCCGAGTTGCCCCATCTTTAGTCTTAATTTAATACCATAAGCTCTTGCCATGACCACTTTACTTTGTTTTGTTTATCAGCAAGTGAAAGAACTTTGCATGGAAATGAATACACAACTAAATTTTGCACTGAGTGAAAATGCAGCCATCAGTTGATTAATATGCTTAAACTCTTTTTTATTTAGTTCATCCTTGAAGCTGCTGCTAGAAATTGTCATTTTCTTAGATTCTTCATATTGTGTAATAAGATGGAAACTTTGAAACATTCAATTACAGTTTTTCAGAATTCAAATAATTACAAAACTTCCAATTCTGTTTTTGATTTCTTTTTCTGATGTATCATAAAGCTACCTCTTCCAGAATCAATTTATTAAAATCAGACATAAGAAATTATCGTAAATCCGATACCTTCATTTAAAGTTTCCAGGGATTGAATATTTGTTTTCTATTTCATCATATAATTTTTGAAGAGCTGCTTTTCTGGATCTAGGTTAATCTTTAAAAGACTGGGGAACTTGGAACAGTTTCACTTAAAAATACATATAATCCAAATTCATTTCCACTTCTTTTAGCTGAAATTGTAAAGGGAAACTATTACTGTTTTGAAACTTTTCCTTTAGGTCGCCTTTCTTAGTTTTCAGATAAGAGATTAGGATCTCATTGTATTTGTATTACAGATAATACAAAGAAATTTTTCTCTTTTCCCTAAATTAGGGAAACATAAGACAGCGAGATTTTGTAGCTAAATAACTGTCGAATGGTGGAATACTAACTTTTAACTTTGTATTATAATGAAATATGCCTTAACAGCAAATACCTTCTACGTATGCCTAAAATCAGTATACAGTCTAATCAGTTTTTATTTGTTTTCAACAGAATTTGTAGCCACATTTTAGTTAAAAAAATAAGCACCTATAAGCACTTTTCAAGCACATTTTAAGTAAAAAAAAATAAGCACCTATCTAATTACATTATACATAACTGCATAACCTTAAAAGAAAAATTAGACTTGTAATTTAAAATATGAGAAATTCAGTATTTATTAAGAGAGAATGAGCATTACTCAAACCATGGAAAACAATTACATTCTTTTTTTTTTTTTTTTCCCTCCCAATTTTAAATAACAGTTCAATTTACAGAACTAGTTTACAATGAGAAAAAAAACTATGCAGAGCTATATATATTACAAGATTTAATGATGAAATTTCATTTCAAAATAGAGAAAATAAATAATAATAAGCCATATTTATTATATTCGCTTGGGACCTAAAAATAAACGCAATTTATTTTTCTACTCATATTAATAGTTAAATAATTTAACTTTAATCAAAATTCTGAGCATTTTCTAAATTTTCATTGTATAACAGTTTTCTCTTAACAGATACTGCAAGCAAAATAATTTAAGTAAAAATAAGTAAAAAAAGGAATATTTCTGAAATCAGAAGATGGGAAATTACTTCATTCAGTCATCCTTTAACAGTAAAAGCTTAACTAACCGGCATACTCGGAAACTGCCGAATATCTGAAAATTCCGGATAGTGGAGCGTAATTGGTAAAAGTGGGGGTAGATTGTACGGTTCTTTAGATTTTTCAGCTAAATAACGCTTTTGACATTTCAATATGTGCATCATATAAAAAATAGCCCAATGGAACTGAAAAAAAATCTGCTTAGCAAACACAGTAAAACTCTTTTGTCTCTGGAAAATATCGCATACGTTACTGCGCAATACGTGCGTTCTTCCTCACGATATTATGCAATCGGAATCAACAGCTGCCGATATTCAGAGAATAAATAACTAAATAAAGGAAAACACCCCTTTGTTTCGTCATGCGTGCATGTGGCATATTTATCATTGAGCAGGACACATCACGCTCCGCGCGATATCTCTGCCTTACTCATATTGATTAATAAAGAGATTTACCAATCCGGGGTGTTTTTCATTTTAATTTTGAGCAGACTGCGTTAAATTTCTGGAATAGAAACATTTTCCGCTTGGGTTGGTAGACTGCAGAACTTTTAATCCTATTTAATCCAGATTGGAAAGTGACAAAAAAAAGTCCTCCGTTGCTTGCTTTGCTGCAAACTGTAACGGTTTCAATATTGGAGATTTTGCAGAGAAAGGAGAGGACCCTCAACTTCTGTACTGTATAATGCATTGGAAAAAATATATATATATATATTTATTGCAGGTTATGTGAGATATATATATTTTCTCACATAACCTGCAATTCGCATTCATTTTGTTACAAATATTGTGTAACAGCTTATATTTATATATTCAACAAATTCTCTTGTATTTTTTGTATCAACAAATGGTATTTTTTTTTTTGTGACATTAGTTTTGTTTACCTTTTTCATTAGTATTTTTATTATTTTTTTAATTTATAGATCCCCTCATTTTATCGTAAGTATTTCATTTTTAAACTAGATTATTGTTCGTTGTTCTAATTGCATTTTTGTGATAAAAGCTTTTTTTTCCCTTTAGCATGTTTTTTTCTTAAATATTCTCTTTCACAAAAAAAAAAAAAAAAAAAAAAAAAAAAAAAAAAAAAAAAAAGATTTTATTGATTATATTTTTACTGCATTGCATTGCAATTTGCATGTTTCAAACAGCAATATTAAATACAAAAATCACAATAAAAAGGGGAAATATAAAGAAAAAAATACATTTTTGATGACACTGAAAAATTGGTGAAATTAATATTAATATCACAAAATTTCAAGTGGATTTATTAACTTTATTTATTTATATAGACCCACCACAGGTCGAGTGTTAATATCGATGAACACTGGTAGCTAGACTCAGTTCACATTTTGGTGAACTAGCTGGCTGCATGTGTAACACGAGTACCAACCAAATTTCCTTAAAATGTCCTCCAGGAAGACCCTTCTT